ACCAATGTCTGTTTTTTTTCTTTAAAGAGCGCTGTTTGTCGACATAATTGTATTTGTGCTGCTTTTTCATCTATGTTTTCATTTCTTGTTTTCATTCTACTCATTATGTTCAATTAGTATTAAGCTTGTCATTTAAGTTTATCATGCCCGAAACGCTTTGCGTAATAGTGGCTTTAGGCATTGTATGTACTAGCTATACCTATAAGTTAAACAATCCTTGTAAATATTTATTGTATGTATGTACCTTACCTAAATAAAATTGTATTGTATTGTATTGTATTGTAAATGGGCCACCACTTACGGGCTATTCATGCCCGTGCCACCTTTTGGGTGGCTTAATCTTCATCAATCAATCATCAGCAGGAAGACATGGGAGACATCTCCCGTCACGCAGGGTGCAGTCGCGCCTCCACAGATCTCCAGTATCATCTTTTGATACTGGTAATGGCTCAAAAGGGCCACCACTTACGGGCTATCCATGCCCGTGCCACCTCTTGGGTGGCTTAATCTTCATCAGTCAATCAATCGGGAAGAAGATCAACCACAAGAAGCTAGAGGAGCCAGACAGATCGACTGTGACATGGGCAGCATATCAGGACGCTGTATAGCAATCTACACAGGTGTTGACAGACCTGGCTCAACACTGCTACAGCTCAGTAGGGCTCCTCACTGAGCTACCGCGGGTACAAGGCGAAATATTAAATAGAGAGGAAACAACAATAATAGGGGTCATTAACTTAAAAACTAATAATTAACAACTCATTAGACCCTGCCACCACCTGCCTGATCTATCATACCTGAATGTGTCTATCAGCGATCCCCCAGGAAGGCCAGGGATCAGTAATCATGGGACTCCCGGCCAATAGGAACTTAGACCCTGCCACCACCTGCCTGATCTATCATACCTGAATGTGTCTATCAGCGATCCCCCAGGAAGGCCAGGGATCAGTAATCATGGGACTCCCGGCCAATAGGAACTTCGGTAATAAATCTTGAGAATTAGTTTGTTTAATTTACTTTGCTTATTTAGGTCCAAGGGCAACTTTAATATCCAGTAAATGGAGGAGAACAGGACGATTTCCAAATACCACACACCCATATATATATATATATATATATATATATATATATATATATATATATATATATATATATATATATATATATATATATATATATATATATATATATATATATATAGAAACTGTTCCACATTAACAACAAAAGGGACAGAGATAACTAAACAATAAAAACCATTTAAAACTTTATTTAATTTAACACATATTGAAATCAAATGAGCATATACCCTACTCTATTATCTCTAAGAGGCAAAGTGGATATCTACCGAGAACATGAATACTCAAGTGCACAATACCTTAAAACCACACTGAGGCCAAGATGTCGATGGCTGCCCTTAGCCCCTTTTGATGCTGGACCGAGTTCCCACCCCCACACACTCCCAGAACACACTACTAAAATATTGTTTATCTCCAGCTTACCGGTGGAAGGATTGCTCCTCCCACAATCTAATACAGCCCCCCAGGGCTCCACCCATTATTTTTGGCTACGGCCAACCATTTAAAACTATAGGCCTGAGGTCTGGCTCTCCAGGGCCAATAAGGACTTGGCACTTATCTACCGGCAATCACCTTCCATTATCTGTGGTGGAAGGATACATGAAATTTTCGAAGATTGTGTCAGCTCTCCCCAGCTATTTGAAGGGGACAAGGCGCCTCTATAGTGGACCACCCGAGCCTGGGACACATCGGAGCAATGTTTACAAAAACCGATAAATTATGTTCAAACCTGTCTCCTCTAAGATAACAGGTAGGGACATTTGACTCGCCTGGTATGGGGAGGGGGGGGGGAACGGTGAGAGGGGAAGAGAGGGAATTGAGAGGTGGATGGAGAGGGAATTGAGAGGGAATGGAGTGGGGGAGCATAGGCACCGAGAGGACCAAGCTAGCAAGACCGCCCTCAGGTCAACCTCTTGGCCTTTGACAAATGGGCGAGGGGGGGGGGGAGGGAAGGAGGGAATCAGCCGTTACAAACTCCCCAGACACCAAACAGAACGCCTTGAAGGAAACCAACATTGTCTATGCCTTCACATGCCCACTTGGGGACGTAAGCCCCAAAGATCTCAGTATATAGGCAAGACAACAACAACGTCTCTTTCCAGGCGATTAACAATGCACAAACAACAGGGCTCCATCAAGGAACATATAATCTCGTCTCACAACCAGACCATCACCAGAGAAGTCTTAACATGCAACACAGAAATCATCGATAGATACAGCGATAGCAGGAGACTCGACATCAGCGAGGCACTACACACCAAAAGGTCAACACCAGCAATCAACAGCCAATTAACACATAACTATATTCTACCCACTTCAAGACCCCGAACCAACATAGAAGCAGCAAGAGAAAATATAGATCAATAGGCCGTTTGTAGTTACTTTCATTCTTATGTTTTCATATCCAATTTATACCCATTGATTCGTATTCTTTCACCTCACCCAACAAAATTGTGTCGTATCACCTCACCCTAAACGAATATAAGCATGATATATGATAAGTATTTGTATTTACCTCCTTAAAATTTTCTTAGATTAAGGACCTGCCCGAAACGCTGCGCGTGCTAGTGGCTTTACAAGACTGTAATTACCATAATTGTATCCTCACATTCCTTATTTACATTCTTGTATATGCATAAATAAATAAATAAATAAATAAATAAATAAGTGTAAACCTGTGTTTGAAAATGTAAGAAGCCCTTGCAAAATGCTTTTAGGCGTCAGACCACAAATAAAAAATGAGAAAATGAACTTTGGAGAGTTAATATTTCAATTACTCCCGAAATTGAAGAAAAACGTGAGAAATATTGAGGAGTTGGAGCTGGGTAATTGCGTTTTCTTTATTTATTTATTTAGAAGTATGACTGCTTAAAATTTCTGGGAAATTTATTAGGTATTAAATAAATAAATAAATAAATAAATGTTTATTTAGGTAAGGTACATACATACAAGAGATTTTACAAAGAGTGATGGATTTATAGGTAGGGCTAGTACATACAATGCCTAAAGCCACTATTACGCAAAGCGTTTCGGGCAGGAAAAACACTAAGACTAAAACTTAATACTAATTGAGATTAAAGTATAAAATGTGTTGAGAATAAATAAGAACAAAAATTGAAAAGGGGGGGGGGAAACATGGCAGAAAAAAAGCAAAAATACAATTTGGTCAACAAACAGCATTGTTTTTCTTTCTAAGATCAGATATTATGTACCCCGCCCTGCCCTGGTGACTCTCTATTACTCCCTTATCTATCCATATCTCAACTATGGTATTTGTGCTTGGGGTTCTACTACCCAAAATCACTTACGTCCTCTAATTACCCAACACAAAGCTGCTATTAGGACAATATCCAATTCTGGCCCCAGACATCACTCGGTACCCCTACTCAAATCTCTGAATATGTTAGATATTAAGTCACTGCACATTCTCTCATGTGTACTCTATATATTTAAAACTCTGAACTGTAATGCCAATCCTGACCTTAAGAGCTTCTTAGAAGGTTGTAACAGAACCCATGAGCACCACACCAGAAACAAATACCTATTTGATATTCCTAGAGTACGACTTAATCAAACTAGAAATGCTCTACAAATCAAGGGACCCAGAATGTGGAATGACCTTCCCAACCATGTCAAAGACTGTACCTCTCTCATCCAGTTTAAGATGAAAACTAAGTACTACCTAATTAACTCCATGTAATTACCTACCTTTACCCCTAAATAGTAAGTCTTACTATTTGTAAACAATGCTGTTTGCTGACCAACTTGTATATTGGCTATTTTCTACCATGTTCCCCCCTTTTTCATCTTTTATTTTTTCTTTCAACTCAATTTATACTTTAATCTCAATTACTACTAAGTTTCAGTCTCAGCGTTTTTTCCCCACCTCACCTTGCCCGAAACGCTATGCCTACTAGTGGCTTTAGGTATTGTATGTACTAACTCTATCTATAAATCCAACATTATGTTTGTAACTCATCCTTTATGTATGTACTTTTACCTGAATAAACATTTGATTTTATTTGAATCAAGTTGTCAAGGCAATCAGAGATACCAATGTGCTTTAATATACCTACTAATCTCTCTCATCTCATTTTTTCCTTGTAATGTACCTGTTATCATTTTATAAATTCTGCTAGATTTTACCATTTACCTACTTAAAATTATCTGTTAGATTAAGGACCTGCCGGAAACGCTATGCGTGCTAGTGGCTTTACAAGAATGTAAAACATCAAGTCTCTGTATAAATAAATAAATAAATAAATAAATATATATATATATATATATATAAATAAATAAAAATAATTAGATAGATAGATAGATAGATAGATAGATAGATAAATAGATAAATAGATAGATCATGAGTCACTCAGTTCTGAAGGTCGTAGAAAGTGGAGAGATTAGTCGATTTACAAAATATTACGATGTAAATCTTCGTGTCTTGCTGTCAACATGAATTATGATGGAAGACGCCTTGAGCAGCTCCTTCCTCCTCTCGTCATGTGAATATCTAATGACCAAAATATGGCCAGGTGGTCCGGGGCGGCCATATATGAAGGCGTGGACTAGCTAGCTCTCTCTCTCTCTCTCACGTAATTGTGTCAGGACGTGCCGCCTGACACCAGCACCTGGTGACACGTGAGGAGGTTAGAGAGTAGTTATGTATGACGGGTCGAGGCGAGGGAGGAGGGCCCCTAGGGGGCCAGCCATGGTCGAGGAAGGCGGTGTTATCAGCGCCCCGGGGCCATATGGCCGCCCTGAGTCATCGCTGATAACACCATAGAAAACCTACCCGCAACTCGCATCATAGAAAACGTTTTTATTATTCCATCTATTTAAAAAAAAAATAGAATGCTCTGCGTGTAGTAATGCCGCTAATAATAAAGGCTGGTATATTGGCGTATGAGCGGCGAGGGCAGCGAGGAGAGATAGACGTGTTATATAGGGCAGAGAGTGCCAGAGGAAACACATAGCGGAAGTCCGGGGCAGTGGAAATCCAACATGGCGTCAGACTTCGGAGACCAACTCCCCGATGAGGAAAAGGTTGAGTTATTTCGTGGTTTTTTGAGTTTAGAATTGCGTTTCAAGTGTCAATTATAACACATGAAGGAGTTAGACTTCGGCTCCCCCTGAAATTTTGGCCACGAGGGCCTGGGATATGGGCCAATAGACACTGTGGGCGTATCCTGCCCGGGACGGATGCAGGGCCGGCTTGTCAAAAATAACACCTCACGGCCTCTAATGTTGGCGGAGCCCCGGAGTAGGCGGCCAGGGGGGCTGAGGCGGGCGGCCAGGGCGCCCAGGCGTGAGGTGAAGGTGGTGGGCGAGGCCTGGGAGCCGGCACCAGGCTGATATAAGGTGTGGTGGGTGTTTGTTTACATTCTGATGAAGTGGCACCTGCCAGCCCTCTTGGGGCCCGCCACCTGTACCACCTGCACCCACTAGGGCCCGCCACCTGTACCACCTGCACCCACTAGGTCCCGCCACCTGTACCACCTGCACCCACTAGGTCCCGCCACCTGTACCACCTGCACCCACTAGGGCCCGCCACCTGTACCACCTGCACCCACTAGGTCCCGCCACCTGTACCACCTAGGTCCCGCCACCTGTACCACCTAGGTCCCGCCACCTGTACCACCTAGGTCCCGCCACCTGCACCCACTAGGTCCCGCCACCTGTACCACCTGCACCCACTAGGGCCCGCCACCTGTACCACCTGCACCCACTAGGGCCCGCCACCTGTACCACCTGCACCCACTAGGGCCCGCCACCTGCACCCACTAGGTCCCGCCACCTGTACCACCTGCACCCACTAGGGCCCGCCACCTGTACCACCTGCACCCACTAGGGCCCGCCACCTGTACCACCTGCACCCACTAGGGCCCGCCACCTGCACCCACTAGGGCCCGCCACCTGTACCACCTGCACCCACTAGGTCCCGCCACCTGTACCACCTGCACCCACTAGGTCCCGCCACCTGTACCACCTGCACCCACTAGGTCCCGCCACCTGTACCACCTAGGTCCCGCCACCTGCACCCACTAGGTCCCGCCACCTGTACCACCTGCACCCACTAGGGCCCGCCACCTGTACCACCTGCACCCACTAGGTCCCGCCACCTGTACCACCTGCACCCACTAGGTCCCGCCACCTGTACCACCTGCACCCACTAGGTCCCGCCACCTGTACCACCTGCACCCACTAGGTCCCGCCACCTGTACCACCTAGGTCCCGCCACCTGCACCCACTAGGTCCCGCCACCTGTACCACCTGCACCCACTACGTCCCGCCACCTGCACCCACTAGGGCCTGCCACCTGTACCACCTGCACCCACTAGGGCCCGCCACCTGTACCACCTGCACCCACTAGGGCCCGCCACCTGTACCACCTGCACCCACTAGGGCCCGCCACCTGTACCACCTGCACCCACTAGGTCCCGCCACCTGCACCACCTGCACCCACTAGGTCCCGCCACCTGTACCCGTCTGCACCACCTGCACCCACTAGGTCCCGCCACCTGTACCCGTCTGCACCACCTGCACCCACTAGGTCCCGCCACCTGTACCCGTCTGCACCACCTGCACCCACTAGGTCCCGCCACCTGTACCCGTCTGCACCACCTGCACCCACTAGGTCCCGCCACCTGTACCACCTGCACCCACTAGGGCCTGCCACCTGTACCACCTGCACCCACTAGGTCCCGCCACCTGTACCCGTCTGCACCACCTGCACCCACTAGGTCCCGCCACCTTCACCCATCAGGGCATGCCTCCTACAGGCTCCCACCTGTACCCATCAGGAGTTGCTATGTTCACCTGCCGAATGGCGCCCCCCCCCCCTATCTGCACCCACCTACCTGTACCCACTGGGGGCCACTACCTGCACCCATCTACAAGTTTCCACATGTATCTAACTACAAGCTATTACCTGTTCCCACTAAGAATCACCACCTGTGACGTATGACATTTTGTAACAACGTACTGAGAGTTTAGGTATCCACTGCTAACCTCACTTGTTACAACCATCTACCACTCCGTTTGCTAAAGAGAGCTTTCTAAAGTTTTTTGGCAGCTTTGTTTTCATATCTTGAGTGAGTGACCTCACATTCTTGAAGTTGTAGGTTTTGGGAACGCCTCTTGTCAATTTTGTCAATTCCTGTTTCTATTTTGTGTGTAGTAATCAAAAGTAGTAATCAGCCTCTTTTTCTTATATCTTCTAACTTTGGCATATTTAACATCTCTAGCTTCTCCTCATAGCTCTTCTTTTTCAGTTCTGGAAGCCATTTAGCTGTGTCTTTGAACCTTTAACCAGTATGTTGATGTTGTGCTTAAGATAAGGGCACCATACAATCGCTGCATATTCCAAATTTTGGTCTTGCAAAGGTCATGAACACTTTCTTAAATATTTTGCCCTCTTATGTAAAAGCAGTTCTGAAGTTGTAAAGCACAGCATAAGGTCCTTGGACAGTGTTTTTTTATATAGTCCTCGGGGGAAAGTTTTCTGTCTAGAGCCACCCCGTGAGGGGCCACGAAAGCCTGGTGGATAGCGCGCAGGACTTGTAATTCTGTGGCTCGGGTTCGATTCCCGCACGAGGCAGAAACAAATGGGCAAAGTTTCTTTCACCCTGAATGCCCCTGTTACCTAGCAGTAAATAGGTACTCGGGAGTTAGTCAGCTGTCACGGGCTGCTTCCTGGGGGTGGAGGCCTAGTCGAGGACCGGGCCGCGGGGACACTAAAAAGCCCCGAAATCATCTCAAGATAATCTCAAGATAACCCCTAGATCACTTTCCTTATCAGAGTTCTTTAACCTTCGTGCTGCATGACTTTTATTGTGACACTGGTGGTGCGCGGAAAATAAAGTGTTCCCTCCCCCCATGTTTTTTTTTTTTTTTTTAATAATAAAATCCCTTTCCTGAACATGTACATGTAAAAACAATTATTGAAAACTACTGATATCATCGAAACAACGATAACATTGTGTGATGTTATTGTGACTCGTTCGCTCATGCAGGAAGCAAGAGTGCAATATTGTCACAATATTACATGTTCAGTATTCAATTTATTTACAATATGTACTCTCTCTCACACACTACTTGCACAGTCAAACACCGTATTACACATTCAGTACTTCGGAAGTGAGTGATGATCAAAGCAGTAGTCCGTGATACACAAAGCAACTTTGCACTCGATGTTCTAAGTACCCACAGATTTTTGCTTCCTATTTCTTCGTTCTGTGTGCTTACAAACAACACACTCGAGTGCACCTTTGGCTTTAGTTCCTGTAGGTGGTATGCAGTCAGGCCTGTAAATTGTAAGTAAGTCTTTAGCAGCCAGTCTTATCTTGAGGTTATCTTGAGATGATTTCGGGGCTTTTTAGTGTCCCCGCGGCCCGGTCCTCGACCAGACCTCCACCCCCAGGAAGCAGCCCGTGACAGCTGACTAACTCCCAGGTACCTATTTACTGCTAGGTAACAGGGGCATTCAGGGTGAAAGAAACTTTGCCCATTTGTTTCTGCCTCGTGCGGGAATCGAACCCGCGTCACAGAATTACGAGTCCTGCGCGCTATCCACCAGGCTACGAGGCCCCCTTTCTGTTGGGAGCTACATATGGTCTTGTTGGTGCATGAACAACTGTCCAAACACCGTCTTCCTGGCCGTACTTGATGAGTAATTGCGACAAGAGAGCATGACTAAAAACAGGAATTAATAGTTTCTTGCCTGATTTCTCCAAAAACATGTTGAAACAGTTCAGCACTTCCACACGGTGAAAGAATAATTTCTTTGTCGACTTTACACTTTTGCGGACACACTCAACAGCACCAACCATCATGTGACGTTTATCTACCAATCTCATATTTATATTGTACTCAATGACACAATCTGGCTTATACAATTTTCTGTCTTTTCCAAACCTCATTTTACCACTGTCAAGCATTTCACCAGCGTGAATAGTTGTCGACATATTCACTTCACGTTTGTTTTTCCAACACTGATAAAATCATGTCACATTTTCTAAGTTCACAATCGCCCACACCAATATTAGTACAGGGGTACCTCAGCTCACGAATTTAATCTATTCCCAGAGATGACTCGTAAACCGAAATGAATTTTCCCATAAGAAATAATGGAAAATGAATTATTCGTTCCAGACTCCCCAAAAAATTAACTTCAAAGTAAATTTTATACCTAATTCACCCAAATCTTCAGTACAAAAGTATGTACAAGTTATTACTTACCCTTGCTGATGACTTCTGTTGGCGTATGGAAGACGGTGAGGAGAGGGGGAGGAGGAGAGGTGTTACTGTTTGGAGGGGGAGTCCCCTTCCATTATAACATCAGGCAGTGAGGACTTCTCTGGGGTACACTCTCTGGCACGTTTTACCTGCATACCACTAGGACCTGCTTGTGGCTCACTGCTTGATTTTCTCCTTTTTTTCTTGACTGTTTTTCCCATCTTTGTAACACTTGTCTGTAGTGAAGCATCACATTGTCAATGTAAGATCAATGCAACAGCTTGCTAAAGCTTTATCTGGGTGATTCTTTTCAGCAAAACTTTGCAGTTCTTCCCATACTGCACACATTTTCTTAACACTATCTGTAACTTTGGACCGGACTCTCGTCCATTATTTTTTTCCCCGAGTCCTAACTTTGGACCGGACTTGTGTTCACTACAAAAAATATTTGTATAAAATTCATTTTTTATCCAATCGACCTCGGGATAGTATCAAAATAAGCGCCTTTAGAATGTGCACAATTTGATACCAAAATGAAAGATGTAACATGAAACTTGATGTCCGAACACTTATATGATTATAAATAGATTTTTGGTCAAAATTTTAAAATATTTGTTAAAATTCTATTTATTGTGCTATTATGTTGGGACTAGTTTTAAAATGCACGCCTTTATGTTGCGAACAATTTGATACCAAAATGAAAGATGGAACACAAAAATTTATGTCAGAACACTGGAAAGATATAAATAATTTTGTGATGATGAGCTTCCAGAATTAAAATATTTTTTAAAATTCCAGTTATTGCTCTATTATTATGGGATTAGTTTTAAAATATGCGCCTTTTTATTGTGAACAATTTGATACCAAAATGAAAGACGTAACACGAAAATTGATGTCATCAAACTGAACGAGTATACACATTAGGTTGCAGTGTACAAATTGGTGCTCGTTCACGGGTAACTTTAGGCTTTTCTGCGGGGAGGCACTCCAGGCTTTTGTACATTATATTCATACATATCTGTAGGGATTTTAATTGTGAACACAGTGATACCAAAACGAGCAACTTAGCACGAGAATTAAGGTGAGAAAAATGGAACGAGTATGCACATTTTACTGATTTTGTGCGCTCACGGGTAACTTGCCGACTTTAGGCTTTGCTGTTGGGAGTCACGCCAGGCTTTTGGACATTATATTTATACACACCTGTAGGGAATTTAATTGCGAACACAATGATACCAAAACGAGCGACGTAGCACGAGAATTAAGATGAGAAAGCTGAAACGAGTATACACATTTAGGTGTCACCGCACGCTTGCCCGCACGCTCACCTGCACGTCGGGTGCATGACCCCTAAGTTGACCGCGCGCCTGCCCGGTGAGCGATAGTGTTAATTAATAAGGAAGAGACATCCTCTACTGCCTCCTCCTCCTCCCCTGAAAATTTGTTGTACTGCCTAGCTATTTCAACAACACGTGTACCATTTTCATGTTTACGAATGATCTCTTGTTTTTCTTCTATGGTCATTCTCACATGTATTTTCTTGGCTTGAACCTTACCATTGGCTTTCTTGGGATCCATGGCGAGTTATATATATAACAAATTTTATGTTCAAATAGCCAAAAATCCGAAAAAACTGTAAATCTTTGCAAAGAATTCAGGCGCGATAGTCACTAGGGGGGAAACACTAATAAACTGAGGCGCGATAGTCACTAGGGGGGAAACACTAATAAACTGAGGCGCGATCGCCGTGCCACTACGAGCTAGGTCGGCCTATACACGTATCAACAAACTCGTTTCCTGAGGCAAAGTTCGTAACCCGATTCAAATTTTCCGAAGAAATTGGGCTCTTAACCCTGAAAAGTTTGTAAAGAGGGGCATTCAGAACCCGAGGTGTCACTGTATTAAAAACTGTCATTTCTTTCCTGCGTGTCTTTACAGTGCCACACACTCCTGTGTTAGGTTCAAGCAGGCCCTTTGTTAGCAAGGGGCTCGTATAATAACTGTCACTGTACAGAATGTGCCCCTTGTTCAGCAGTGGTTCCATGAGTGTCTTCACCACTGCCAGAAAACCCGTGAGGATCTTGAGCGGATATGTCTATGTCTGTACCGGAATATAATATATCGATCACCATTCCGGTTTCACAGTTGCACAGTACAAGGAATTTGAGGCCAAAATGGTGCTGTTTTGATGGAATGTACTGTTTGAAGATTAGACATTCCTTGAAAAGAGTTTGTCAAAGTTTTGTCAACAAGGTGTTGGATGAATTGCTCATCAAAATAAGACCTAAAATATTCACTATGTCATATCGTCACCTGTATACGGGAAAGTGGGTGCAACACCAACATCAATGTCATTAAATTGAAGTTTGTGTGGTACAAAATTATCACAGTCCACCTACACAAATTCCCCCGTGCTCCTTGTAGTGGCAGCACCAGCACGGCCACCATACCCACGGGCGTGGCACCCGTACAGGGCAAGCATTTCATACCACTAGGCATATCACTAGGCCCTGGTTGTGGCTCACTGCTTGCTTGTATTGCTAAGAATCTGCCTATAGACTTGTTTTCCCTATGTTTTAACACTTGTCTGTAGTGAGACATCACATGTCACTAAAAAGGATAATTCAATGGCCGGCTACAGCTTTATCTGGGCGAGTCTTATCAGTAAAACTTTGCAGTTCTTCCCATACTGCACACATTTTCTTAACGAGGAAGTGACATCCTCTACTGCCTCCACCTCTCCTGAAGAAATTTCCTCAGCTGTCTCTTGTTGCTTCTCCTTCTCCCGGCTAGGAGTTCTTAGGTGGTCAGTTCATCACTGTGTTCCTCCTCCAACTCCTCCACATCTTGTTGCTGCTGCTTGTGAAGGGCTAGGAGTTCTTAGGTGGTCAGTTCATCACTGTTTTCCTCCTCCAACTCCTCCACATCTTGTTGCTGCTGCTTGTGAAGGGCTAGGAGTTCTTAGGTGGTCAGTTCATCACTGTTTTCCTCCTCCAACTCCTCCACATCTTGTTGCTGCTGCTTGTGAAGGGCTAGGAGTTCTTAGGTGGTCAGTTCATCACTGTGTTCCTCCTCCAACTCCTCCACATCTTGTTGCTGCTGCTTGTGAAGGGCTAGGAGTTCTTAGGTGGTCAGTTCATCACTGTGTTCCTCCTCCAACTCCTCCACATCTTGTTGCTGCTGCTTGTGAAGGGCTAGGAGTTCTTAGGTGGTCAGTTCATCACTGTTTTCCTCCTCCAACTCCTCCACATCTTGTTGCTGCTGCTTGTGAAGGGCTAGGAGTTCTTAGGTGGTCAGTTCATCACTGTTTTCCTCCTCCAACTCCTCCACATCTTGTTGCTGCTGCTTGTGAAGGGCTAGGAGTTCTTAGGTGGTCTATTCATCGCTGTGTTCCTCCACCAACTCCTCAGTCAACGGGGCATAGGGGGAACTTTGCACTCAACGCACCAGGTGCAGATGCATCTTCGCTTGCGTTCCCTACGTTGTGTGTTCTTGCAGACAACGCAGGCACGTTTACCCTTGTCCCATGTATCTGTGCCTGGCATATAACCAAGCTTGTGTACTGCAAGGTGTCCTTTACCCCCGAGTCTGTCAAAATGTCAGAAACTGCATATGCAGGTAAAATGCCGGAGTCGATGAGGCTGTGAGCATATTTGTTTTTCTGCAACGAGATGGTCCATGAATTCCTGATCAAAATACAGTGGTACCTCGGTTTAAGAGTTTAATCCGTTCCGGGAGACAGCTCGTATTCCGAAAACTCGTAATCCGAAGCTAATTTCCCCATTCAAAATAACGGGAAATGAATTAATCCGTTCCTGACTACCCCAAAAACCTCACTTCAAACTAAATTTTATACCTAATTCATCTAAATAAACCTACAAAACTATGTTCATGTTATTACTTACCCTTACTAATGAATGCTGTAGGCGTGTGGAAGATAGTGAGGAGGGGGGAGGAGGAGAGGTGTGGTGGATATGGATGACACTATGACACTATGGATACCACTTCTTTTTCTAAATTTTTCAAACCATCCCCTGCTTGCCCTAAAGTCTATCATATCTGCACTCGTTCCAAGGGTTTTCTTTACAAGGTCTTCGTGCAATACCCTGGCTTTCTCACAAATGATGGCCTCTGAAACACTATCACCTGCTAACTCCTTGTTGTGTATCTAAATTAATAACTACTTTTTTACTTCAAGTATTTGTGGTCTTTGTTTCGTGATCGTTCTTATGCCTTTTGCCACTTTAGCACTCATAATCTCATTTTTCTTGCTAAGTATAGTGCATATCGTTGACGTGGCTTTGTTGTACTACCTACAAAGTTCAACTACACGTGTACCATTTTCATGCTTCCGAATGATCTCTTGTTTTTCCCTCTATTGTCATCCTCGCATGCGCTTTCTTGCCTTGATCCTTACCACTGGCTTTCTTGGGACCCATGGTGAAATATATAATAACAACTTTTATGGTCATATGACCAAAAATCCAACAAAACACTGAAAATCCGGGTGAAGAATTGACTTGGGATAGTCACTGGGCGCCAGGCACTGGTAAACTGAGGGATGGAGGGGCGACGATCGCCGTACCACCACGCACTAGTTTGGCCTGTACGCGTATCAACAAACTTGGATTCCGAGGTAACCCTCGCCTTCCGAGGCACATTTTCCGAGGGAATCCTGCTCGTATTCCGAAAAACTCGTATACAGGGACACTCGTATTCCGAGGTACCACTGTTTGCCATAAAATAATCTATAACTAGTGTAGGACTAGATGGTTCCTCACCACACATCCAGCACAACCCATGTGCCTGACCCAGACAAGTATCAACAAGGGAGTCATACTCTGGAGCAACCGTCAGACACCGGGTCAAATTTTACAACAACATTTCTGTCATACACCAAAAAATTCACACTCTGGGGCACTTGTAGACTTTAGTTTCACTTTATTATTTGCATATTTATTTTGGCTTAAAACTGGATCTGGCTAAAACTTCAGCCACCGACATAGAGTATAGGGTACTATATTACGGTTAACTTTTCATTAGATATTGTATCTGCAGACTTGTGATGCTATTTTATACATAAACTCATAGTTTTCCAAACCATTACTAAATGTGTGTTTTATTCCAGTTAAAAACAGAACATTCCATAGCTTAAGCCTAGGATTGGTGATCATATCTTAGGTGACAGTTGGAGCCGGTCGGCCGAGCGGACAGCACGCGGGACTTGTGATCCTGTGGTCCTGGGTTCGATCCCAGGCGCCGGCGAGAAACATTGGGCAGTTTCTTTCACCCTATGCCCCTGTTACCTAGCAGTAAATAGGTACCTGGGTGTTAGTCAGCTGTCACGGGTTGCTTCCTGGGGGTGGAGGCCTGGTCGACGACCGGGCCGCGGGGACACTAAAACCCCGAAATCATCTCAAGATAATCTCAAGTTGTGTGTTTTGTGGAGACAAAATCTGTGTTGGAGTTGAAATGTCAGATTACATTGTTGTAGAATCAGTTAGAGTTGGTGTATCCCCCCTAGTATTTTTATTTAGTTAATTATTTTTATGTAATATGAAAATTTGAGCTTGACATATAAGCTTATGGTTTTGAAATAAAGAAGGGGGTGGAAAATGGTTAAGAAGTCTGGAAGCTGTGAATCCTGTGAAATCTTGTACAGTGTTGCTCATCTTGTATATTATTTCCAGGTGCGGATTGCCTCAGATTTCGTCTTACACTCTCCACCTGGCGAATTCAATGAAGTCTTCAATGGTATGTAAGCCATAACTATACGTAATGTGGAATACAACAATAATGCAGTGGTATGAAGTTAGGAAAAAGGTTACTAATTAATTACTTGTGAATATTAAAAATATAAATTTATAATCTTTATTCGTTACTGTACATGTACAAGTGTTTCTATTTAGGCATATTCAAACACTTTAAATGATAAAATAGTTGAGCATATATAATTGACTTAGTTGACAAAAGTTAAGTTATTCATCAAAGGATGAGGAAGGTAATTGTAACGCTTGGAGGGTGCAATTCATATATATATACAGTACAGTACATGATTTTGGTATGACTGCCTGGAGGGGCACATATATTAATATGATTTAGAGATTTGAAATATTAAAAATAGTCCTGCACATACACAGGGCTCACATTTGCTACCTCAGGTCACCAGTAACCATCCCCCATCTTGAAAAAAAATCCCGAGTCCCTCACTTTCCTTCTAGGGCCTTAATAAAAAAAATGAGGTAGCTACCCATTTGTTTCTGCAGTCTTGGCAAATAACAGTCATATGTCTGAACATTTATGGCAGCCATAGAGGACACGTTAAACATTTAACAATAGCAGATGAGTGATTACCATGCATGTATTTCGTGCAAAGTGTGTGATGTGTGCAATTTTTTAAGATTTAGGTTTATATATATGTAATTACCTAAGTGTAGTTACAGGATGAGAGCTGCACTCGTGGTGTCCCGTCTTCCCAGCACACTGTCATATAACACTTTGAAATTACTGACGATTTTGGCCTTCGCCGCCTTCTCCCCTAACTTGTTCCAACCGTCTACCACTCTACGAAACTGAATATTCTTATTTCTTCGGCAGTTTTGTTTAGCTAGCTTAAATCAATGACTTCTTGTTCTTGAAGTACATACCAGGTCTCGGGAATTCTTCCCTATTAGTTTTGCCGATTCCCGTTATTATTTTGTAGGTAGTGATCATATCCCCTCTTTTTCTTCTTTCTTCTAGTTTTGGCATATTTAATGCCTCTAGCCTCTCCTCGTAGCTCTTGTCCTTCAGTTCTGGGGGCCACTTAGTTGCTTGTCTTTGCACCTATTCCAGTTTGGTGATGATCTTCTTAAGATATGGGTACCATACAACTAGTGCATATTCCAGCTTTCTCTCTTGAGGTTATCTTGAGATGAATTCAGGGCCTAGCGTCCTCACGGCCCGGTCCTCGACCAGGCCTTCTTTTTGTTACACACCCCTAGGAAGCAGCCTGTAACAGCTGTCTAATTCCCAGGTGCCTATTTAGTGCTAGGTAACAGGAGCATCAGAGTGAAAGAAACTGCTCATTTGTTTCCGTCTCCACCGGGGATCGAATCCGGAACCTTAGGACTACGAATCTGAAGTGCTGTCCACTCAGCTGTCAGGCCCCCTGACTAACAAAACAAAAGTCTGGACTAACGAATTGTCGTGAACAATTTCTTTTGTATTTCGCCATCTATGTACAGTATTTAAAAACAATTCTGAAGTTAGAAAGTGTAGCATAGACTCCTCGCACGGTGTTCTTAATGTGGTCCAAAGACTTGAGGCTTTGCTGTGGGACTCACTCCAGGCTGTTAGACCTTGTATGCATATACCCATATAGGGTATTCTATTGCGAACACAATGATACGAAAATGAACGATGTAGCACGAGAAATAAGGTGAGAAAACTGAAATGAGTATATACATTTTACTGATTTTGTGCGCTCATGGGTAACTTGGCCGATTTTAGTCTTTATACTTTGTTATTGGTATTGCTTATATATATATATATTGCGGTTGTTATTGCTTATATTTGTCTTTCTATTTAGAGCATTTTATTGTGAATAATTTGATATCACAATGAATAATGTTGCACAAAAACTTCTGTTAGCAAACTGTATGTGTTTGTCTGGTGTATTGGGTGTAGCGGGTGTGGGGCAATGAGTGTCCTCTAGCGGGTAAGGCTTCGGTGATTTTAGGGTTGTTGCGGGTTATGCGCCCCCATTTTGTCTAATTTATATGCATATGTCTGTGTAGGAAATTTTATCGCGATCACAGTGATACAAAAAAGAATGATGTCGAACAAGTTTGTACTTGATAAACCTGAAAAGAGTAGCAACATGTTTGCCCTGTTTGGTGTGCACGGCAAACAAACGACTTAGTTTTTTATTCGTTGCCGGCATCACGTTAGCTTTGGTGACATGTTATACATATGTCCCTCTAGAACATTTCATTGAGAACACATTGATACCAAAATGAAACACGTACATCGAAGATTACGGTCAAAAACATGAAAAGAGTATAAACTTTTCAGTAGGGGTGTAGCCGATGTGCAGTTGGGCGTGCGGTAGCGGGTAACCCTTGGGCAACTTCCCACAGTCTTGCGGGTGGGGCGCACCCATGTTTTGTACTTTGTATTCATATGTCAGTGTATGGAATTTTATTGTGATCACAGTGATACCAAAATTAACGACGTAGAACAATTCTGGGGTTGACAAACCTGAAAAGAGCGTAAACATTTCATCGCTGTTTGGCACTCACGGCTAACGATCGCAATAGTTTCTTATTTGGTGCGGGTCTCACATCGGCTTTGGTGAAATTTTATATACAGTATATATTCCTCTAGAGCATTCTCTTGTGAACAAAATGATACCAAAATTAAATACATACATGGAAAATTAAGATCAGCAGACCAAAAAGAGTATAAACATTTTAGTGTCGCCGCGCGGTCGCGCGAAATGCTCGGTGGAGGGAAAAGTTAAAGAGCCTTCTGCGTGATAGTGTTAATGTAACAACATGCTACAGCTTTATCAGGTGATTTTTTCCAACAAAACTGCAGTTCTTCCCATACTTCACACATTTTCTTAATGAGGAAGGGACATCCTCTACTGCCTCTACTCTCAACTATTTTCTTAGGTTGAACCTTACCACTGACTTTCCTAAAACCCATGGGATGATATATAATGATTACTTTTATGATTGTTGCAGTTGCAGTCTCCGTGGTGTAGTGGTAAGACACTCGCCTGGCGTTCCGCGAGCCCTATGTCATGGGTTCGTATCCTGGCCGGGGAGGATTTACTGGGCGCAATTCCTTAACTGTAGCCTCTGTTTAACGCAACAGTAAAATGTGTACTTGGATGAAAAAACGATTCTTCGCGGCAGGGGATCGTATTCCAGGGACCTGCCCGAAACGCTACGCGTACTAGTGGCTCTACAAGAATGTAACAACTCTTGTATATATCTCAAAAAAAAAAAAAAAAAATGATCAGAAACCAAAAATTCAGAAAACAATAAAATTCTTCACGAAGAATTCAAGCGCAGTCGTCACTAGGCGGGATACCCTGGTAAACTGAGGCGTGCCTTGACCGTGCCCAGAAGAACCACACGCTCCTCGACCCATACATGTATCAACAAACTCGAGAACCGAGGCGAACCTCAAATACCGAGTCAAGTTTTACGAAGAAATTGAGTTCGTATACCGAAAATTTATAATAAATTCGTAAAATTCATAATAAAAAATGTCAATTTTTATTATTTGTCAACCGAGGTTCCACTGTACTGTACTTCGATTTTGTGACAAATTTTCACTCAACCAGCAGGTAAGAGCCACAAGGTGCTACAGTAAAATAATCTAGATCTAATCTTCACGAACAATGAGGACATTATCAGGGACATTACAATCACAGATACACATACTGTATTCATATCACAAGCTCATTGAGGTGCAAACTAACATCAATACTTGTAATAGGCCTAAAACAGTGATCAAGCAAGAGGGGTTATTCAGTAAATTCAATTTAAAAATAAAAGGATAGAGTGGGAAAAGATAAATAGAAAACTTTCGCATTCACTTGGGAAACTGTTCCATTGGACAGAAACAAGGAATAGAACAACTGACTTCTGAAGCATATAAAGTCTGTGTGAAACATGTTCCTTTAAGGAAAGCCAGAAAGAGGTCTAGCGCAGAAAGAGAACAAAGACAGCACTATAAAAAAAGGAAAAAAAAAAAAGGAAATGCAGAGACCCTTGTTACTGGTAAGCAATGAGATTCTTGAATACCTGGTGTTGTCTGGCCTAATCTGTAAAGGCCAGAGCATACATGAACTAGGGAAGCTACTGATGCAATCCCAAAGGAAGGCCTTTTCAAATTAAATTAAATCAAATGTTTATTCAGGTAAAAGTATATACGTACAAGATGAGTTACAAACATAATGTTGGATTTCTAGATAGAGCTAGTACATACAATGCCTAAAGCCACTAATACGCACAGTGTTTCCCGCGAGAGTTTTGTTGTTTTGTTTTGTTACACTCGACACTATTTCTGCTTATTTTTAGATCTGGGAAAGTTCAGCTACTTACCTTGGCACTGCCAATCACTTCTTTAAGTATTTAAACCAGCTTGTTTGGTTTCAGATGTGCGAACTCTCGTCAACAATGACACACTGCTTCGGGAAGGTGTTGCTCGGGCGATTGCAGAATACAATAAAGACCAGCTGACCCCAGTGCGGTTGGATGGACAGAATCACTATGCTCTTGTCACAGAACACAATGACCTTGGCGGTGGTCGCTTCCTTGACCCTAGAGCAAAGCTCACTTTCAAGTTTGATCACTTACGCAAGGAAGCGACAGATATGAAGGTTTGTTATGTTTTGGTTTACTGATTCTGTCACACACCTTTCTTAATACATTTTATTATTTAAATGATGTATTAGCACATTTCAGGCTCTGATGCATTACTGTGTTCATGTTTCAGTTATGGTAAGTGTTTAATATGTGCTGATGTTTAAGATGCTTAGCTTACCTTTTGGTTACCTTGAGATGGTTTCAGGGCTTAGTGTCCCCGTGGCCCGGTCATCGCCCAAACCTCTTCGTTGCTAGACTGGTCAACCAGGCTGTTGGACGTGGCTGCTCGCAGCCTGATGTATGAGTCACAGCCTGGTTGATCAGGTATCCTTTGGAGGTGTTTATCGAGTTCTCTCTTGAACACTGTGAGGGGTCTGCCAGTTATGTCCCTTATATGTAGTGGAAGCGTGTTGAATAATCTTGGGCCTCTGATGTAGATAAGAGTTCTCTCTCTCAGGGTATCTATTGCTGCTCTCTGCTTTTCAACGGGGGTATTCTGCACATCCACCCATGCCTTCTGGTCTCATGTGGTGTTATCTTGAGGTTATCTTGAGATGATTTCGGGGCTTAGTGTCCCCGCGGCCCGGTCCTCGACCAGGCCTCCACCCCCAGGAAGCAGCCCGTGACAGCTGACTAACACCCAGGTACCTATTTACTGCTAGGTAACAGGGGCATCAAGGTGAAAGAAACTCTGTCCATTGTTTCTCGCCGGCGCCCGGGATCGAACCCGGGACCACAGGATCACGCGGTCCGTGTTCTGTCCGCTCAGCCACCGGCTCCCTTTCTGTACTGGTATTTCTGGTATTACTGGTACCAGGAAAAAGGTATTTCTGTACTGGTTTGAGGCCAGCCCCTCTACAATTTTCCACGTGTAAATTATTATCTCTCCCGCCTGCGCTCAATAGAATACAGATTTAGGCATTTTAGTCACTCCCAATAGTTTAGATGTTTTACTGAGTGGATTCTAGCAGTAAAGGATCTCTGCACGCTCTCCAGGTCAGCAATTTCTCCAACTTTGAAAGGTGCTGTCATTGTGCAGCAGTACTCCACTCTAGAGACTACTAGTGTCTTGAAAAGTGTCATCTCTATAGTATCTCTGGTTTGAAAGGTTCTTGTTATACAACCTGTCATTTTTCTTGTAGATGTGAAAGCTACTTTATTGTGTTCTTTAAAGGTAAGGTCTTCTGACATGAGTACACCCAAATCCTTTACATTGCCTTTTCGTTCTATGTTTTGATTTGACTGCGTTTTGTACGTGGTTTCCGTTTTTATATTTTCATTTTTTTTCCGTAGCGCAGGAGCTGGAACTTCATTAAACACCATATTATTTTCTTCAGCCCATAGAAAGACCTGATTTACATCTGATTGGAGGTTTGCTGTGTCCTCTATGTTGTCTACTCATAAAAATCCTAGTGTAATCTGCAAAGGATGATACAGTACTATAGATTGTGTCATTGTCTGTGTCCGATATGAGGATGAGAAAAAGTCTGGAGCAAGCACAGTAGCCTTAGGGACTGAGCTCTTCACGGTTGATGGACCAGATTATATTTTGTTGACTGTTATACATTGGTTTCTGTTAGTCAGGAAATTGTAGACCCATCTGCCTATTTTTCCGGTAATTCCTTTTAAACGCATTTTGTGTGCATTAATACGATGGTCACATTTGTCAAAGGCTTTTGCGAAATCTGTGTAAATTACATCAGCCTTTTGTTTGTCTTCCTTGACATCTAATGCTATGTCATAGTGGTGTTATGGAGATGCTGTGAGTCCATGTATTTTGTGATCTTACTTCTTAGCACTCTTTCAAGTATGATGTGTGATGTTAGTGCTTTTGGTCTGTAATTATTTGCCTTAGCAGCACTCCTTTATGGAGTGGTGCTATCTCTGCTGTTTTTAGTATGTCAGGGATAACGCCAGTATCTAGGCTCGTCTCCAAACAATGTGAAGGGCTGTGATAGTGGTTTTTACAGTTCTTGATGAATATATAGGGTTTGAAGAATCAGGGCCTGGTGCAGAGTGCATAGGCATTCTGTCTATGGCTTCTTCAAAATCCAGTGGGGTTAGGGTGACATCTGTTACATGATTTGATGTTGGTATCACATCCATGAAAAATTCATTTGGATTATCAATCTTCAGTGTGCTTTAGTGGCTCGCTGAAAACAGTCGTGTACTGATTTCTCAGTACTGTACAGTATTTCGCTCATTTCTTTGTTGTCATCAGTGAATGTTCCATCTCCCTTTCGCAGGGGCCCGATACCAGATGTGTTTTTTTATCTTGATTTTACATAGGCGAAAAAATATTTTGGATTTTTCTCCATTAAACTAATGGCCTTTGAGCATCTCTCTGCCTCTCCTGGATTTTGTATGATTCTTGTAGCTTTAGTTCAATCGTTTCTATTTCTCTACCTAGTCTTCGTCGTCATTCTTGAGATAGGGTGTGACTCATTAAGTTGTTCCCTGATTCGTTTTCTTCGCCAAAAGAGGTAACACCGTTCATGTTTCAATATGCATCTCTTTCTCTTTTTTCTTGGGTATGTGGTTTCAACATATTTCTAGTGCTACTGAGCTTATTTTTTCTAGGCACTGGTTCTGGTTTGCATTTTCTAGTTGTTCTTCCCAGCATATTTCTGTTGAGGTCTTGGTTTATTTGCTCCCAGTTTATCTGTTTATTATTGAAATAGAATTTGCTGAATTTTCCTCCATGGCGTCTCCCATTGTACGTGGTGCCATTCCCCAACAGTGAGGTCATCGCGATAGATGCTTTTCAGCAGGACTGGTTGAGGTGGGGGTTCCTATACATCTTTTTCCCCAATCCAACTGTTACTCCAGGTCCTAGCTCACTTGAAAGCCTATCGGAGTAGGATGATTCTTCTGGGTCCTTGGTGGCCGGCCTTGCCTTGGTTTCAGGTACTGCTTACTCGGTGCCTGAATCCAGGTGTTTTTTCAGGGCTCCGCTACTTGCAGCAGGTCGAGCCAGTGAGGTACCTCGCTGGTTTACCTTAACTGCTCCGTACTAGGCATCAGGTCTCTTTAACGTGTGTGTATCGCCATTTATATGGTGATCAGGTGGCTTCTTTGTGTCCCACATGTGGTTTTCTTCAAAGCATACAGTTTGTAGTGTCTTGGTGGTCTTTCCATCACTTTCTTTCTCTTCGAAGGTTTTCGTCGATCTCGGACTGGGTTATTTTGTCCTTTCTCTCTTGCCTTTTTCTGAATCGGCATCTCATGCCTAATACTGTCACTTCTTATCGCATGGCATTGGTGGAGCCGCTCCAGCTTGCATTCGGGGTGGATGTTGCTTCCGCTTTGCTCTGGCCTGCTCATGTGCCGCCTGAGCCTTCTTGGTATTTAGACCATGTTCTTTCTTTTCTTTTTTCTTCTCACTTGCCCCTTCGGTTAGGGATTGCTTTTGGAAGGCCATGTTTTTGTTGGCCTTGGCCTCTGGGGGTTGGGTTGGGGAGCTTCGTGCTCTCTTTCAATGCCGGGGGTTCTGTTCATTTGGTCCAGATGGTCGTTTTTTTCGTTTGCAGCCTTCTTCTTTTCTGGCATAGATTGAGATGGTGGGCTTCCGGAGGGGTCAGTTGGTTGTGGATGCTTGGTTGGTTAGGCCAGGGTGCATAAAGTTCTGTGTCCGGTGGGGGCTTTATGCTGCTATTTGGGGGGGCCACTGGTTCTGTGACGGTGGATGCTCTTTGGGGGATTCGGTTTTCTCTGGCTCCCTGTTCCTGGGCTTGTGTGTCTCAGAATGTCCGCAGTGTGCTCGCAGTGTCATAAAGTCCAGCCAGCCAGCGGTCTACCCTCGTGCCCTTGATGTTTGGAAGTATGCTGCTCTTGTAGCGGTTTTTGGCAACATGTCTTGGGTTGACATTCAATCACGGGGGTTTTGGAGGTCAAACAGGGTCCTGGCCGCCAGGTATCTAGTGAACGTTCCAGTTCCTTCCCGACTGTGTGGGGATTTGGAGCACCTGTTGTTCATGGTGTTTGTCTCTTCTTCGCTGTCCGATATGCGGTGCTGCCGCCTCTCAGGTATCTTTAAGTTATGTCGAGAGGATTTTGGGGCTTAGCGTCCCCACGGCCCAGTCCTCGACCAGGCCTCCTTTTTGTTACACACCCCTAGAAAGCAGCCCATAGCAGCTGCCTACCTCTCAGGTACCTATTTACTGCTAGATGAACAGGTGCATCAGGGTAAAAGAAACTGCACATTTGTTGCCACCTCCACCGGGGATCGAACCAGGAACCTCAGGACTACAATTCCCAAGCGCTGTCCACTCAGCTGTCAGGCCCCTTAAAGTCTCTTTAAGGGGGACTAAAGAAGGTAAGTCCCTCTTTTTACTTATCTTTGGGTAGTTAGCTTCAGGGAGCCGACGGGGCTTCTCACAGAAAACCCAGCATTATTAAATGTAATTAAACGCCATTTTCTGTGTGAGCCCCCGGAGGATCCCTGACACCCTCCCTCCTTCTGGTCGGCGGTTTTTCATCGTTCAAAAACTGGAGTGATGGGCTGCCGGCTTCCCCTTCTCCTCTGGGAGTGACGGGGTAGCACTAATGAGTGGAAGTGTTAGTCTCATGAAGGTTTGCATGTTTGGTTTCTTTCTAGGGGAATTATTTTGATCTTTTGGAATGTAGATTGCACAGGTTAACCAGACAGTGGTTTGTTTTGATTCACCTACCTTTCTGGGTCCTTTCCTGGTCGATGGCAATTCTTTAAATGTAAAGTGCTCATAGGCCATTGCTCCCTGTGCCTCTCTGAGGGGACCAGGTTGTGGCTCGTGGTTCCTGGTTGGGATAAGAACTACTGTGACTGATGACCCTAAACTAATAAAGCACATACCGAGCGGATAGCTTCAGGAACCCTCCGGGGCTCACGCAGAAAATGGCATTTCATTACATTCAACGCTGTTTTTTTCTTGTTTTTTCTTCAAAATTCAAGATTGCATATCTCCAGAACCATTTTAGCTATAGATGTGAGGCAAACATCATTCTATTTCTCTCACTGAGAAATCTATATCTATACCAAATTGCTTTGATCGTCTTTGATCGTCTCTCTTTACAACTTGTGCATATGTCTCTTTAATTTTCTTTTTGTACTTTTCTAGTTCTTTATTAGTCTCCTCTATGTGAGTTGTCCATGATGTTTCTGTTTGCATATCCTTGCCTATTGGTTGTCTGTGTAACATCTGCCAACCCTCTCGGGTTGGGCCATAGCTTCTCTGCATCTGAAGCTGTGATTGGAGGAGCCTCTGTTTCCTCTTTTCAAGCTTATTCCACGTGTTCACTGAAGGAATATTTAGCTAGCATACTAAGTATGGACTACATGCTAAATGATTATTCACGTATCACCTTTTATCATTAATTGAATAACACATTTTATATTTTTTGATCAAATAGACCTTCGAGATTTATTATGTATTAGATGATTATAATTTGAATTACTGGTAATATTGTTAATAGTTGTTTGTGTTAATAGTTGTGTTAATACTGTAGTTGTTTGTTCACCCTAATGGGTGAAAAAGTAACCGACTGGTATACCCAACTTGGGTGTTTCTTTTGTGACTTGTTTGCGTTCATTATGTTCATGTTGTATTAGTTATGTCTTCAGGGAAAATATTTGCCAAATTGCTTATTCTCTACTTGCATGTATTTGAATGGCCTTGTCATTTTTTCCCGAGTACTGAATTATGTAAATAAATAGACTATTTTATAAATTTATGCTACAAATTCATCCTGGCTTGGTGCCTTTTTTAATAATTACGGTAACTGTAAAAATATACAGAGATAGATAGATAGATAGATAGATAGATATATATATATATATATATATATATATATATATATATATATATATATATATATATATATATATATATATATATATATATATATATATTTTTTTTAAATATTATATTGTATATTGTTATGAGAAATAATGTTGAATTAGAAGGCCTAAAATGTGTAATAAGACTTGTCTGGTGTGTTCAGGCGTGGGAGAGTGACCCAACCACAGAAAGCTGGAGGAGTGCAGTAGAGACACAATTAATGCAGTATACCAATGACCACTACCCCCACGGCGTGTGTGCTGTGTACGCCAGGGCACAGGGCTCGGCAGTAACACTAACCATGTGCATAGAAGATCACCAATTTCAACCTAAAAATTATTGGTAAGCAGGTTGCATGTTGTTGTTACTAGTAGATTTGTGACTTTCCCTCTGGCTTGCCTTGTTATAAGCTGGTAAGTAGACCAGACCACACACTAGAAGTTGAAGGGACGACGACGTTTCGGTCCATCCTGGACCATTCTCAAGTCGATTGAGAATGGTCCAGGACGGACCGAAACGTCGTCGTCCCTTCAACTTCTAGTGTGTGGTCTGGTCAACATACTTCAGCCACGTTATTGTGACTCATCACCTGCAAACTGGTAAGTACTTGTATACGCAGCTTTACTGCAGTGAAGAAAGGATTTGACTGTATTTTTGTGTGGTATGTGTATTTATGAATGAAGTTATAAAGAATAATCACGAGAGTTTTTAAAATGGGTGAACTTTTTTTATATTAGTATGTGCTTTCACATTGCCTAGAGCCACACAAACACCTCTTGTCACCCCAACGTCCTCAGTTGCTTCATCAATATCTGTGGTTGCCACGCGAAGTCAATCAGAAATTGTCTCATGCTTGACGTTGGGTGAAGTGTCTAGAGCCGTCTTTACAGGTGAACGTAACAGTTGTCGGTCACTTGCCAGGGACCAGTTGGTGGATGTGTCAGACCCGATGACCACACACCTGCCTCCAACTAAGTCCACCACAACATACACCCAATTCCTCTCCAACTTACACAAGTCACTGACATCTACAAAACTAACAATTGTTAACATATTATTCCTTTATATTGTATTTTTAATGACTTGGTGCTGTGGAGGAAGCACTGAACAACATGGTTAGTGGACAATCCTCAACAGTCTTTGTGTCTGCGTCATTCTCGGAAATTTGGGCTCTAATCTCGCCTACACGCTTGTATTTAGTGAACTTTAATATTTTAGGGTTATGTATGTGTATGCATTGCACTTGGAGTGCTAAACATGTCCTCATACTGCTTATTTTAGGATTTCACTAATTTCTTTGTCATCCTCAGTGTATGTACCTTCACTCGTACAAATAGGTCCAATACTGGCAGTGGTTTTTGCTTTTGATTTCGCATATGTAAAGATTCGGTTAACTCGGGTTGTGGTGGCTGATCTTTGTTTCTTAGGTTTTCACGTGTTCGACTACCTTGACAGCTGGTTGGTTTGGGTCCCCGGCCGGTCCGCTTGTCTGCTAACCAGGGATCTGGTTCTTTTACAGTTCGCCTGGTTCATATTCTTGGTGAACTGGCGGAAGTCCTAGTTAGTTTTCTAGGTTCAGACCTGGTTGGGCTTACCTTGGGATTATTGGTGGGCATTGCTTTCCCTGCCTCCTGTGGTCTTGCTCTTGCTGCAGTCCTGCCATCTATTGATATTAATGGGGAGCTGCCGGGTGACTCGGCAGTTGCTCAAGTTTTTGTGCTGGAGCCTGAACCCTTGCCCTTCTGGGTTTCTCTTTAAGCAGGGTCTGGCTTCAGAGGCTGTTCTCGTATCTTCGGGCAGCTCCTTTCACCACTTGTGATCGCTGGGATCGTCCTCCGGTTTCTGTGCGCTGATTGCTGTATTGCCAGCGTCCTCTGATTTTTCCAGGATCAGTGCTATGGTGTTTTCCTCTTCCCTCGCTTGATGTATTCATGGCTGTTGGTTTTGTGACTAGTGCTCACCAGTCCAGCCAAGGTCTTTGGCACCTTCCAATTCATCAGGCGCACAGTATTGTGCAAGAGTTTGTGGCTGTGCAGCAGGTGCCGAGTGAGTTCGGATTCCTCCGGGCTCTGTGATCAGGTTCCATTTGGACTGTTCCTCCGTGGTTCATTGCCTCAACTAGGAAAGAAGAAGGGGATTTCTTCAATCGATGGCTCTTTGGTGCTAATCACGTCGGGTAACTCTTCTGTCGAGTTCTCAGGTTTTGAATCTCTGGGCCATTCACGTTCAGGGTGTGTCCAACATCCTGACTGTCAGTCTGTCCTGCTGCTTTCCTCTTTCCGGAATGGACTGTCATTGCCGATTCCTTCCTCTTGCTTTGCTGGTCGTTTGGAAGCACGGCAAAGATCTCTTCACGTTGGCGTGGTCTCGGCGTCTGCCTCTTTATGCAGCGCCGTTCCCCATCTACTAGGTTTTTGCCATAGATGCGTTTTGGCTGGACTGGTTGAGGTGACAGTGCATTTAACTTTTTATCCCGATCTGGCTGTTGTTGCACATGCTGGCACAGCTGTAGTCTTACAGAAGGAAAGTAATTCTTCTGGATTCTTGCTTTGATGGGCTGTTTGCTTGGTGTCTGAACCCGAGTGTCTTTCTGCGGCTCCCGTTTTGGAGAGTAACGTACCTGGGTGGTTTGACCTTCTCTTCTGCATTATGCGTCTGGACCTTTTTATGCATATTTCTTGCTATTTGTATGGTGAACAGGTGGCTGATTTGATGGTGTCCCACCTGCAGTCTTTTTCTCAGCGACAGTATGAGGTTTCTTGGCAGTCTTTTCACCATATTCTTTCCCTTCGTTTTCAAAGGGAGCGAAATATCCTTCTGTTTTCGACTGGATTGTTTTGCCCGTTCTTTTTTGGCTGTTCCTCGATTGATGTCTTACGCCAAATACTGTCACTTCCTATTGTGTAGCATTTGCGGAGCTGCATCTGCTCACATTCAGGCCTGACATTTCTTCCGCCCTCATTTTGTAAGCTTTCTTGTGTTTTGTTTCACCTGCCTGATCATGCGCCACATGAACCTGCCTAGTCCTTAGATTGGGTTCTTTCTTTTCTGTCCTTTGCTCGTTTTGCGGTGGCCCCTTCCATCCAGGATTGTTTTTGAATCGGGTGAATTCTGGTGAACCCATTCATGTGGACTCCCGAACTCGCACCCTTTACTGTATTGATCTTTCTTTCTGCTCGATGTCTCTTTACTTAGATTTCACGTGGCGGGTTCTTGATGACCTCCATAACAGTGACCATTTCCTCATCCTTGTTACCTTTTTCTCTTCTCACCCTCCCCTCTCCTTCCCTAGTTGGCAGTTTGCCAAGACTGGCTGGAACCTTTTTTCACTCTCCATGCTACTCTCTCTGACCTCTCCATTCTGTCTCTTCCTCGCGCTTTCCTCCTTTTTCATGACACCGTCTTCGACGCTGCCTTCCACTCTATTCCTCGCTCTACATCCTGCAGCACGCAGAAGTGCGTTCCCTGGTGAAATATGAACTGTGCTCGAGCTGTCCGCTATAAGCATGCAGCCTGGAAGAAACACCGACGCCGGCAGACGGCTGATTCTTTTATTTTGTTTCGGAAGGCTAGTGCGGTGGCCCGTAGGGCCATCCGTACAGCTAAATGTGAGAGTTGGAAATCTTATGTCTCCACCATTACGTCCGATACTCCTCTGCCGCAGATCTGGAAGAAAATCCTTAAGATAGCGGGTGAGTTTGTTCCAGATGTCTCGCCAGTCCTTCATCTCCGTGGTACTCTTGTGGCGAATCCAGTGACGGTCACAACCAAACTGAGTTCCCACTTTCCGACTGTTAGCTCTGGTTCTCATCTTGCTCAATTCTTCCTTCCTTCATAAGCCTGTTCTTGAATCTCATCCCTTAGATTTCCGCAATCATCTCCGACTTCCCTGTAATGATCCCTTATTTCTCTCTGAACTTCAGTCTGCTTTGGCCCTCTGCGGTTCTATTGCAGCCGTGGGCTCATATGACACTCGTTATGAAATGTTTCGCCATCTCCCTCCATGCGTGTGTCAGTATATACCGAATTTGTATAACTGGGTCTGGGAGTCGTCGTCAGTTCCTGAGGACTGGATCGACGTTGTTGTACTTCCTATTCAGAAAACGGGATTTCTGGGGACATCCCCGTAAGGACTTCCACCCTATTGCCCTCATGAGTTGTGTCTGCAAACTCTTTGAACGTATGGTCGGTGTTTGTCTGATGTGGTTCTTTGAACACTATCACCACCTCTCTCCTTCTCAATTTGGTTTTCGCAAGTGCCGCAGCACAACTGATGTCTTGGTGAACTTGGAGGTCTGTATTTGTACTGCTTTTGCTGCGAAGACCTCCGTTGTTGCTGTCCTTTTTGACCTGGAAAAGGCTTATGATGACACCCTGAAGATACCATATTCTGTCCCAACATCATTCTTTTGGCCTTTGCCGTAATCTCCCTCTCTTCCTACAAAGCTTCCTCTCCCATCATACCTTTAGAGCGAATCTTGGTACCACACTCTCTGCCTCTTTTTGGCAGCACAAGGGTGTACCCCAAGGTAGTGTTCTGAGCACTACTCTCTTTCTGGTTGCCCTCAATGGTCTTCTTTCCTTCCTTCTGGCATCTTCTCCGCTCTCTGTGTTGATGATCTTACCCTTTGCTGTTGAGGTGATGATTCACCTCTCCTTCAACGGCGGCTTCAAGTTGCTATTCATGCCATGTAGTCTTGGGTCACCATTCATGGCTTCAAGTTCTCTGCAATCAAGACTTGTGCTATGACTTTTACTCAGAAACAGGTCGTTCTTCGTCCCTCTTTGTCGCTTTATGGTCATCCCCTTGTATACAAAGATTCTGCTAAGCTTTTGGGGCTACTCTTTAACACTCGTTTGTCTTGGTTAACCCCATTTCTCTTACCTCCGAGTTAAATGCTCTAAGGCCTTAAGGTTTTGTCCCATACTTCTTGGGGAGCGGATAGCAGCCTGCTCCTCTCTTTACATTCCTCTCTCGTACTGTCTAAACTCGATTATGGTTGCTCTGCTTACTCGTCTGCTTCTTCTCCTACTTTTCGCCATCTTGATGCTCTGCACCATACTAAGTTGCGCCTGAGTTCTGGTGCCTTTCGTTCGACTCCTACCCTCAGCTTGCATGTTGAAACTAGCTTACTGTCTTTCCAGGACTGCCGTGATCGTTACTGTCTTTGCTACCTTGCGAAGACAGGGTTTTCACAAGGTAGTCCTTTCGTCCTTACAACACCCTCAATCTCGCCTGTGTCATGCTTTGACTTTTACCCTTCCTGTAGTCCGTTCCCCTCTTTCTGTCCAATTTTCTCTCCTACAAAATTATCTTTTGGTTAGTGTTACCAATATTTCTC